ACAAATGAATCACCAAGGGCAATCAGGTCACTTTCAGTTTGAGCTCATTTTGTTCCGTTTTAGAGCAGGGGTCGGCAGAGGTGTTCAAAGAGCCATATTGGACCAAAAAAAAAAAAAACCAAAACAAATCTGTCTGGAGCCGCATAAAAAAAAATTTAGTACACTTACAGCTGTGTCATAAACTGTGTATAAAAAAACTCTAGTGTGTTGCATTTATGAAATCAGTGAACTGCTGCAGAGAACACAGAATTGTATTTCTGCATGTAACAAAAACATTTTGAACTTGGAAAAAAGGACACATAGTAGACGCTTACTTTCACAAAATATTTAAGGAAATAAAAATCCAAACTTAAAATATCCACCCCCAGCGAACAAAAAATGCCGTCTGCTTCAGTGTTCCATTCTATCGCGTGTACTAGAGTGCGCAGTCAGATATATATATATATATATACACACATATATACATATATACATACATATATACATACATATATACATACATATACACATATATATATACACACACATATATACATACATACACACACACATATATATATATATATACACACATATATACATATATATATATATACACACACATATATATATATATATACATATACACATATATATATATATATACATATACACATATATATATATATATACATACATATACACATATATATATACACATATATACATACATATACACATATATATATACACATATATACATACATACACACACACATATATATATATATATACATATACACATATATATATATATATATACATACTATATATATATATATGTATATGTATATGTGTGTGTATATATATATATATGTATATATGTGTGTATATATATATATATGTATATATGTGTGTATATATATATATATATAGTATATCGCCATAATAATAGCCAATAGAAATATATATAGTTTTCCAGATTGATTTATTCCAGATTGCGAAATGCAAACCTTTCATGATCATGTAAGTGTCGAGGATGACATTCCATGGTTCGAACACTAGTTTGTCCGGTTTGGGAAGGGTTTCAATATCACTCCAATTGTGATTGTGAGCAAGAACGGACGAGTCTGTTCAGCAGTGAAAGCAAATGAATCTGCCCACGTAGCATTAAACGTTCTGTTTTCTACAGAAACTTTTCTTGGATTTATCCATCAGAGGCGATTTTATTTATTTTTGATTTGTTTATTACTCATTGAAGTAATTACACGGAGTCCAATATTTCAGTCAGGATATTACAAAAAAAAAAAGGATCAGAAAATTGTACGGACTACATTTTAAATATTGCAACAATGTTACCTACAGTTGGCAGAGCAAATCAGAAAGTGGAAGAAATATTTAAAAAGAAATATCGCATAGAATAAAATTCAAATTTAGCAACAATAAAGATGAGGATGGTGAGCGGCAGAAAGACATTTGCAAAAAAATATTTTCGCAACTTGAACGCGACCGTGACCAGTATGTAGCATATACCGTGAATTAATTTATTATAATATATATGAAAGCGATCGGCTTATTTTCATCTACAGTTTCCTAAAAAAATGTTGTTAAAACAACAGATAAAAAAAAAAGTTGTTAGAATGGTTTACATCAGGGGTGTCAAACATAAAGGTCTTGGGCCAAAACTGGACCAAGGCGTTCGTCCTTTTTTGAAGATGTTATAACTAATTTTCACACTGTAGTCCATTGACAAAATCGTGGAACTTATATCAATATTAATCCACTAAAAAGCAAAGTCATCGAAGAGTTTTTGTCCGTCATTAGGCGAGCAAGGTATTTAAAATCCTCCGTCAACAGTCGGTACGTGTTGAAGTACTTGCGTAAGGCAGCAGTAGACGAGTCTCAGCGCAGAAGAGTGGGCGTAGCGTAAGAAGAACCTGAACAGCCTTTTCTGAGGTGTTGAAAATCACAGTTTAAAAAAAAAAGGGCCACCGAGCCCAGCTCATCACAGGAAGTTGGTGAAATTAAACAGTTGGGCAACAGGAAGACCACTAACATGTCACAGTCGCTGTTATTAACAGCAAGGATGTATTTCTATGTTTTTGTATTTCATCAACCAACGTCTGGTGTCACTGCCACCTGACGTCAACTCTTATCAGGTCGATTTTCCACATTTAGTTCAAAGTTAAAAACGAGAATGGTGACTTTTTAGAGATTTCTTAAAAAAAAATCATGTAAATGTAAGTGAATCTTGTTGAGGAATAATGGTTATTTAACAGTTCATAATAAATTATAGATAATCACGGGAAATAAGAGGAGTGTATGTAACGTAAACAAACTGGAACATCTTTTTCCTCTTTGTTTACATGCATATAAGTATAAATATATTTGAAAATATTTAAATGTATTGAAATATCATTTTACAAAACGTCATGAGCATGAAGTATTTGTGCTTTTTTTTTTTTTTTGCTTATAAGCGGGCCAGAATGAACCCCCTGGTGGGCTGGTTTTGGGCTGCGGGCTGTATGTTTGACACCCTGAACTAGAATCTTCCAAACTGCCTTACCTTTTTGTTTTTTTTGGGGGGTTTTCCCTTTTTTTTTTTTTTTTTTTTTTTTTTTTTTTTTTTTTTTT